ATCCACATAGCCTTGAGCAGGGTCCACATCCAGCCCTTTAAATCCTGTGGGAGCTCCCAGCCAGCAGTGGGAAAGGGAAGGTGGGAGAAAGGAGGTCTGGGCAGGCTGAATCCACTGCTGGTATCTGGCTGCAGTGTGCTAGATGGAGGGAGGTGGCAGCTCTGCTTGTGGCACTGGGCAATGCTGGCTGGGGTGTTGCATGGCCCCCTCTCCTTCTCTGGACCCTGGGAGATGAACAAGGCTGGGATGTGAGTGAAGCCGGCTGTCTGGGAGGTTTGGGAGAGGAGGAAGGACAGCAGGCTGCAGCAGAGGGGAAACTTGCTCCAGGGCAGTGTGGCAGCCCCTGAATAGTGCACTGATGTGAGGCAGATCTTGCACCATAGCTGGCAGCTGAGGCAAGGCCAGAGACTCTTCCTGTGACTGTGCCTCCTGTGACAAAGGCTCTGAAGGGATGTGGAGCCAGGTCCTTTTTTGTGTCCCTGCTCTCCCTGGTGCTTTGGGTGCAGGCACATCCGCCTGTGCCCACCTGCAGGGTCAAGGGCCTCCTTCATACTTTCCTTGTCCTGCTTCTCTCTTCCCCTTTCCCACAGCTATCACAGGGCAAGGAGCTATTGCAGGGCCTTCAGCTGCTCCTGACTTGTCCCTGGCATGTGCTTCCTTTCCCAGGGACAGCTCCATGTCCTGCACTTCACCTCCTTTCTCCCACTCCCTTCCTTTCATACCTGCAAGACCAGGGACCTGAAGGAAGGCAGTTTTCAGGGACAGCCCTGTGATAGATGCCTTGAACAAACTTCAGACATGTCCACAGAGCCTTTTGCAGCAGAGTTTGGATCACTCCTTCAGGGGAAAATATAGGCACAGCTCCAGGGGTAGTGCTGTAGCTGTGCACCCCAGGGCACTTGTTTGTCCAGGAGAGAGATTCTGGCTGTCACTCACCCCTGAATCACATTTCACAGGGCTGCTCCATTGCATGGAAAAAAGCACAGACCTGGGGTGAATGAATGAATGAATGAATGAACAGTCTCATGGCCTTCTGGGCATGGGTGCACTCACTGGCAGGCCAGCAGGGCTGATCTGCCCCAGACCTTGTTCCTTCAAAGCATTGCAGGGTTCCCCTTGCCTGATCCGAGCTTCACCTGCCGCAGCTCCCTGGTCAGGCATTCATGGTGTGAGGGGTGGCACCAGCTACAGACCCTGCCTGTCACCGTGCATCTTAGCCCCAAGGGATTTGGCTGAGGAGACTCTTCAGGGGCCAGGCTGAAAGGTTGAATCATAGAAAACTTTTCTTGAAGATCTGACTGCACATTTCCTGTCCCCCCTCCCTCCGTCTCTCCTTTCCTCACCTTTTGTAAGTGTGACAAAGTCACTTCCAATCTGCCAGCCTCTCACCTCAAGGAACAGGAACATGCACAAACACAACCACTACACTTCCTGAGGACACATTTTTATCTGCTTCCTCAGAAGTAAATAAAAAATGGGAAGAAGGCTGGGCTCTGACCTGACAGAGCATTGCATTTACTAGGATATATATAGCCCTTGCTCTGGGCCTGTCACAGGACCAAAGAGGCCTGTAGGGATGTGTATGATTATGTATTCCACCCTTTGCCAAATGAGCGTCTGGTACACATCAAACCACAGGAGAAACTATGTGAAGGCAAATTAAACTCAAAACAGAAGGTCCTATATGGGCACCTCGTCTTGTTCTTTTGCCTGTCCTTCTACTTCAGCAGGAGTCCTCTCAGTCCGAAGATGATAAACAAAACTCCATGTACCTCTTTGACTTGGACTGAGACCCCAAAAGGCATGTCCCTGTCCTTAGGATTCTATCTTTCCAGATCTTTCACTCAAGCTTACAAGACTGCAGGCCCTGTTTATGTCTTCCCTTCTCCCTCAACTTTATGAGCAATTGCCACTTGTCCTTCCACCCCTGACCTGAACCTCAGGCCTTTCTCATCACACACAGGTCTTCCAAATATGCATGTCCAGCTTAACTCTGGAACTCCCACTCATTCCAATATTAGGAAGCATAAGTGTCCAGTCAACAGTTTACTATCCCTCCTACACTCTGCTTCCTGGCCTTCAGCTCTTGGCAGAGAAAAGAGAAATGCCATAGGGAAAACAGTGCTTACCAAGTACTTGATAGAAGAATGTGCAAAAAAATTTCATAAGATAAAGGGATCTGATCTCCCTTAAGAGAACTCCAACATTAACCCAGCCTTCCTCCATATAAGTAAGTACTTGAAGCCTACTCCTACAACCCATTGTATTGTCCTGGGAATTTTTTTTGTAATCTCCAAAGAATCCTTTTCTGAATTTGCTGAAAGCTTTTCCAGCAAAAGGGAGAGGGTTTTCATAATTAGAAGTGTTCAAGCAGTTAATATTTTAAGGTAATAGTTCCTTGCTAAGTAAACAGACACAGGATTGCCCAGGGAAGTTTCAGAGCTGAGTTAAACTTCGTACCAGTCAATTTCAGGCCAGTGTCTTTTCCATCACATCATTCAGCAATAACCAGAGCTAGAGGGAATAGGTTGGGAGACAAAAACAGATTTAAGTGCAAAACAACCAAGGAAAAAAGTTTAATACCACTGAAAAAATATATATATACAAAAGTTCTTGGAGTTTGTTTGGTTTTGTTACATAAAGCACCATTAATTCCAGAGTACATCACAACTCAGCCTACTACACTTTCCAGAAAGCACCCAATACTCCTGAAATCTGATTTAGCACCAAGGGAATGCCATCTTGTTTAGCACCAGAAGCCTGTTAAACACACCGTTTGGTCCCCCTGCCCTCGTCTCTCATGTGCATCAGGCACCCTCTGGCTGCTCATGGATAGCACAGGAGACCTGTCACCAGCATTCAATCACCAAATAGGAAAGGAGAAAGAAGGAAGCTTGTTTATGGAGATATTCAGTGTTAGAGAGGCTTGCTTCTCCTCAGGGAGGCATGGGGGCACTGTAAATTGACTGTATTTGGGTTGCAGCCTGTTGAGGAAAAGAGAAAGGGATTCAGTCCTGAGTATCACTTCCAGCTTTCTGCTTCCTCTGCTATCTGAAATCCTGTCCCTGAGCAATTCCACACACTTGACCTGCTAAGGGAGAGGAGGAAACCCACAGTCTCCTTTAGTTTCCATGATCCCTTCATCACATGTTTCCCTGTGAAAAAATCAGCCTTGCCTTAGTGAAACTTTGTTTTTATACCCATTGCCTCATTGACAGTGGTGGGGAGGATCCAGAGCAAAGTTCCTGAAACTCACTGCAGTCATGCAGCTTCCTTAGAAAAGCATGCAGATAAAGCAAACAGGATAAGAGAGAAAATGCCCTGCAATTTTTTCAAGGTCAGTTTTAATATTTAGCCTTGGTCCCTGTTCCTTTGCTATCCCAGGCTGTGTGTACCAGACATAATCTTGTACAATGATGCACATTTCTTCTGGGAGAGCCCTGGAACTCCCAGGTGCTATAGGCAGAGACCGTGGCTCATCAATGAGACAGCAGAACCCGAGTTAAGTCCGAAGATTTCATGACCAGTGATGAGCAGAGGAGAAATACCTGTGTCTCTCCTGCTTGTCCTGCCCTGAGATTCAAAAAGGAGACAAGTCCTGGCACTGCTGTTCATGGGAGCATCACATGGAAGTAGGTTTCCTAAAGTGCTGAGCCAGCCTCACCTGCTCCCCCAGGACTGCAGCATCCCCACCAGAGGGATGCCAGTGGGAGCAGTGTGAGACCAATATAAATAGTACTAGAAAACCCTACCACTGGCATTCCTTTCTCACTGCGACATCTCCAACCTGACAAAAAGAGCGAGGGTTTGTTTAGCCACGTGTTTTCCTCACTTACTGTGATGAGATTGCCAGAAAAGGGCATGGAGCATATGGCAGGGAAGCTTTTAACCCTTGGGCAAGGTGCTGTTGTCTCACCTCTATCTCTGTTCCATCACAGAGGCAAAGACGTGGCAGCCTGTCCACATTTGGAATGGACTGAACTGCAATTGCCCCTACAGCCTCAAGCTCAGGCCCTGAAACAGTGGTCCTTCAATACCAGTGTGGGAGAACCACCTTCAGGAGGACAATGAAATGGCACCTCTGCCAAAGGAGAGCAGATTTGGGTTCCCTCTCTGAACTAGCTTCCCATAGCTGACGAGCCAAGACTGAGTAGCACCCCAGGGGTTTTCAAGGTTTTCTCTCTCAGTCTCTCGTTCTGTACTGCTGATCCCTAGTGGGAACAGAATGGCTGCCTCTACTGAATCATGGGCAGATGAAGGGTCTGGCCAGGTGTCTGGCCCTTCATCCCTTTGAAGAGCTAGAGATGGCACAGAGGAGGACAATCCCACCAGGTCTAGGTTTGACAGCCAGCCTGGAGTCTGAGACACAGAAGAGTGTCTATGGAAAACCAGTTTAGAAGGCCAAGTGTTCTCCTTTTGAAAAGACAATATCCTCTCCCAGTGCTCCTACATCTTCCTTGTGCTACAGGAGACCATCAGACCTCAGTCTGCTCTCAAGACTACAGATATCAGAGGTGACATCAAGACCTTGTTTCAGGCTGCAAAACTGAAACATGTCTAGTTGGGATGGAGAGGAGCCAGGATGTACCTCAGCAGTGGGGACTTTCTAGCCCTTTCCACAGGAGTCCTTTGTGTATGAAGCCCCAAGGAGGCCCAGGAGCAGCATTTTGTCTTTCCTCTTGCTCTAGAACCCTAAATGCCAGAGGCAGCTTGCTGGCAGATTGAGAAGAAGCCAATAACCTAAGTTGGGGTTATGAGGTGAGGGGCAAGAGGTGGTAGTGCCATGATGTAAAGTGGACAGATACAGGTCTGGCTACAAGAGAGCGTGAGGTGGGAGCCAGTGTGGCAAGTTTCACACTCGGTGCCAGAGATTTGACAGGCCCATTTCCAAGTGATTTGCAGTGGTTACGGGCAGTAAAGAGAGAAAGAGAGAGAGAGAGAGAGAGACAAAGGAAGAGAGAGGAATAAGGAAAAGGCCTAAGAGCCCTAAGGAAGAGGAGTTATTCAATGCTGGGCTTGACCAAATACCCACTGAAGGTGATGTACACATCAACATCATCACTGTAAATGGCATTCTCCCGCTCCCGCTTGTAGAGCCTCACCCAGATCTCATCATTTTCCTGGAGCTCCAGCATGAGGCTCTGGCTCTGCATGATGCTGCGGTCACTGGGTTGGGCATACAGGATGACAGCCTCCTCTTCGTTGTGCATGATGTGCATGTAGGTCTCCTTGAAGTTCCAGGTGTGGACATTGAGGCTGAAATAGTAAAGTCCACCCACTGAGCAGTAGAACTTGCCATTGAACATGTCGAAGTGGCTGTAGAGGTTGACAAAGACGGTGTCAAAGATCAGGACCTGGAAGCCCTCGCTGCTGTGCAGCGCTTTCTTGCGGCCCACGGAGAACGCAGCGTACTGATGCTTGCAGGGGTCTCCCGCCGTGCCCATCTGTCCCTTGCTGCCTTTCTGGCCCTGGGCACCCCGCTCGCCTCGTGGTCCTTCTTTGCCCCATTTCCCTGGCATCCCAGGCTCTCCCCGGTCTCCTTTCTCTCCTACAGGAGGAAGCAGAGGACACAACTCCTGTGTGATACCAGAAGATGTGGAAGTGGCAGTGAGAAAGCCTAATGAGGAGGAAGAGGACTGCACAAGAATGGGGCAATGCCAGAAGAGGGAACATTTCTGAGGGTGACAATACCACTGCTCTTCATGGGAAAGCAGCTAGCAGAACTCTGGGAGTGACTGGAGTCTCTTCTCCAATGAATCCTCTGCTCACCAAATGATGTGGCTCTGCTGGAGGCACCAGGATGTCTCCCTAGGAGACTTCAGCCTCAGAGGGAGCCCAGCAGCCCGCAGTACTGCTGGGGCTCTTGACCTCTTCTTCCTCCCCCACACTCCTTTACCTCCAGCACAGCCTTACCTCCCATGCACCTCTCCAATGACCCAATTATCCACAGAGGATGCACACTGGTGTGGCTGTAGGCTGCAGGAGGGGAGGAACTGCTAACGCCTGTGGGGGAATATGATTAGGGAGGGACAATAGGGTGGGTCAGAGAGAAAAGATCCAAGCTGGACTGGGTAGATGGAGCACTGCAGCTTAGAGGGATGATGCTTTCACAATACTGGTGTGCTTTGAGCATCTTGTATAATTAATACTGCAGTTCTAACGTGGGGTATGTGCACTGCCCATCACACACTTGGGCAGGCATCAATACATAGAGAGACCAGCACCAAAATGTACTTTGTGTATGCAGAGAAGAAATGGGACTCAGAGCAGCCTCCAGCTCTAAGTGACAGCATTCAAAATCTGTATCTTGTTCTTTTCCTCCTCTCCATCCCCTGCATGGTATTGAAGGTCCCCCTATGACACCCCACTCTAGTCTAGGCCTCTATCTGCCTTCTGAGCTTTGATGGATTACAGCTACTTCCAGGCAGGGCAGGGAAGGGAGAGCATCCGTCCAGTTAACCCAGAAAAACCACAGAGCTACAAGAAGCATGTGGCAGCATCCAGCTGGGAACAGGCTTTTGCCCACAGCAAAGGCTAAAAGGGGAGTCCTGAAGGGAGGAGCTGATCTAAAATAGGGAGCCCTTTCCCATTAGCCAAGCCAGCCACTGCAGGGTGGAATGAGCTGGGGGTCACTGCAAGTTTAACCTGGAGGTGCTTGCAAATAACTGCTGCTTCCCTTTGCCCTCCTCATGGTCCCAAATGCACATGACCCACGGTGCTGGAGAAAGTTTCCCCACAACCTCCCTGGGTGCCAATGCCCTCCAAACATGCTTATTTTGCAGTTGATAAGGAGTGTTCCTTCCCTCGGGCACTACAGGACTCTGTAAGTCTGAGACAAGGAATGTGTCCTCCCAGCTTGGCAAGAGGCTGTCCTGTGTTAGCAAAGAGGAAGAATTAGCAGCAGGCACATCCTGAGACACAGAGATCACAGCAGAGATAGCACTGACTTCTATCCCACCAGGCTACTCCTCATCACAGCACAAAACACCTAAACCCTGGGCACAGCATGTGTGGTCACTTATCCTCCAGGATGGCTCCTGGTGGTCTCAGGACAACAGCAGACCAGCAATCCAGATGTCACCTCCACTGCAATGCCATCAGTCCCTGAACCAGCCTTGGCATCCAGGGCAAAGACTTACCCTTCAGAATGGTGATGTTGATGTAGGGACGGACCTCTGGCACTGGATAGGGAAAGTGGTGGTGGCTGGGAGGGACTGGTGGGGTATCTGTGGAGGAGTCCAGTGAGTCACAACAGCGCTTGCAAGCACCAGGGCCTGGTTCTGTGAGGTTGGGTTCATCAGCGGGTGCCCCAAACACAACAAGAGGGAGAAAAAGGAAGGTCAGGGATGTGCGCAGGTAGGTTATGTCCATGGTGACCTGGGAAGATATGAGGAAGTGCCAAGAGTGAGGTATAAGAAGGGGGAGGACATAGGGGATGGAACAGAGATCATGATAAAACATCTTTCTGTGGTTGGGGCTGGGGTGGGATGAAATGGTATTGTCCTGTGGAGGGAGCTTACAGGCTTAGTGAAGGCTGCAATCGGAGCAGCAACCACATGGCCCATGAGGATGCCCCACGCCCTTCTGCCCAGGCCAGTGGAGACTTGGTGCTGACCTTGGGAGCAGGCTTGATGCTGACTAGGCAAACCATTAAAGCCACTAGAATATGCAATCCCCAGGCTGGGATAGAGGAAGGAGACAGAATCATAGATTTGTTAAGATTGAAAAAGACCTCTAGGGTCATTGAGTCCAACCTCAACAGCTCTTTAACAAAAGCATGCTCTGGTAGGCTGCTCAATCTGTGGGAATCACTGTAAAAAATTCTCCAGCACTCCTATCACTGCATACCAACTCTTTATAGGAATCTAACTCCAAAATCCCCATGTCCCAGCAGAGATGCCTCTTCCCCTGTGGGCTGGGAACCTAACTCCAGCCCCCTTCTTTCCCCCCTCAAATCCCACCCGTCCCGGCGGCTCGGTCCGCTCCCGCCCGTGCCCAGTGGGTTCCCAGACAAAGCCCAGCACCTTCCCGAGGGGCCGGCCGGCCCCAGCGCAGCCTTTGGGCGGGCCCGAGGGGAGCTGCCTCTCTGCCGAGGGTGAGGGACGTGAAGCTCCGCAGCTTGCAGAGAAGCGTGCTTACGAAAGACAGGCACGCCAAGCAGCGGAGAAAGCCCCTGTGGCAGCCCGTGCCCCATGGTGCTGCCTGCCCGGCACCGCGCAGCGCTCACCCCGCGGGCCGCAGCTTCCCCTCTCCGCGTCCCAGCCCCGGCTCGCCGGCTCCCCTCTGCCTGCAGGGCAGGCCCCCGAGCCATGGCTTTAAGGAAGCCGGCTCTTGGCACAGGCACTGCGCAGCGCTGGCCGGGAGCGCAAGCCGGGCTTGGACCGGCTCCCTCCCCTCTCCTCTCCCGCCTGCTCCCTCCCTGGCTTTGGGTGCTCTCCATCCCAAACCGGCTTGGGTTTCAGCGTCTTTTTAACTCTTTCCTAGGAAGTGCCTTTTTCTTGCACACGATGTTAGTTTGGTTTTATTCTCTGCCTTTTCACTTCCAGCCAGCAAAAAATGCAGGCAGCACGGACTGTGCCCTGTGCAAGGGGTGGACAGCAGCAGGGCAGTGTCCCACCCTTGGCATCTCAGGATGGACAAAGTAAGGTGCATTGGTGCAAGAGACAGCAGGGTGCTACAGAATTCTGCCCTCAGTCCTTTGTGCTAGTCCCTTGTCCCAGGGCCATGCTTGGCCATGCTCTCTCCCCAGCTGTGCCTGACCCACTCATGTCCCCAGACTTCATCTTTCATTCTCTCCTGCATTGTTTTTTCTGCACATCACTGTGGCCTCTTGCCCTAGGCATGATATTTCTAGCAGGAGCAGCTGCCAACTGGGAGAGGCATCAGTTTTTTCCCTCTCTGGTCATCCCCTCTGCCTGGGCAGAGCCCCAAGCCTTGTGCTCCAGCACGTGTCATCCCCCGGTCATGTCCCCTGGTTAGGTCCCAGGCCGAGCTTTTTGGATGGGAGGGGTGTGCCTGCTCTGAAGCCGAGCCTGGCTGCTGGGAGCTGCCTGCCAGCAAAACTGGGGATCTGGAAACAAACCCTGGCTGTGACCATTGTCCCCAGCTTGGCGCCAAGCTGACAAGCTTGTGCCTTTGGGGTAAGCACAATGTGGATGCACCAGAACATTGGAATGAAGGGCATTTTGGAGGGGAGAAGAATGCAGGGTGGGAGAGATGGGAGATTTTTCTCACACTGCAGAGTCTGTTGGGAAGAGGATTGGAGGATTCTATCCTGCACCAAAACTGACCTGGGTATTTATACCCTGGGCATGTTTGATGGTGGGGGGTGTGTGCATATACGGATCTTTGGGAGGCAGAAGGAAGGATGGACAATACCTCTGCTCTGCAGGGGTCAGAAATGCCAAGTCAGCACTGTGCCTTCTGCAATTTCCAAGAGGAGCTGCAGAAGGCTCCAAAGTTTCTGAGGGGAATCAGGTTTTGAGCGTGTCTACGTGTGCTGAGACTTTTTTTCCCTGTTTCCCTTCTCCCATTTGTTTGGTTTAGGAATGGGAGGCCCCGCTTCCCAGAGAGTGGCTGGCGTTTGGCAGGACCCCAGAACCACTGGAGAAGCAAGCGGAAAACTCTGGGAAAATATGCACTGTGAGCTGAGGGGGAAGGGAGGAATGGGGGCTGGGAGGCCTGGAGATATTCTCAGGCTGCCTGTCAGCCTGGAGCTCAATGAACATGGAGCAAACATGCCTTCCAGCTGGGGCAGGAAGAGGATGGAGAAATGCACTGCTGAGTGTGTGAGCTCCTCGCCGGGCTTCAGCACTGACATGCAACGAAATCCACTGCAAATTGCCCACGTTTGCCTGTGCCTCAGTTTCCCCTTTGGGGAAATGGGGGGGGGGGTGGAAGTTTAGGGCAATACACCTGCTAATGGAGCCTTACCAGCTGACAGAAGAGGAGTTTTGTGATGAGTTGTGTTGTCTACTCCTGGCTGCTGCTTGTGGGAATTTTGGCAGCTGACAGCACTATTAAAGGCAAGAAAAATTTCTGGGGTGCATGAAAACTTGGAGACTGATACAGAAGACAAAGCTTCTGCACTGCCTCTCTCAGGTTTTCTTGCCTGCTTTATTTCCAAACATGACATTACCCACTTGGGCTTCTTGGCCTTATGCCTGGTCTCTTCCACTTTTCTAAGGGAAACAGGTAACAGGGAGACCATTGTCCTCATTTCCGTCCCACATTTCCATCTGCACTCCTGAGCTGCTCACAGCCAAGCAGATGTTCTTCATGGGGGACCTCATCAGCTGGGGCCTTTGCCTGTGTCTAATCTGATTGCAAGAACAGCTCACAGTGGGGAGTGAGCAGGACTTTGTATTTAATGTCTCATCTGGGCTGAACAGGGACCCAGGAGCCAGCAAACAAAGATGTGCTCTGGTGGCATTGCCCAGCTGGGCAGAAGTTTGTGCCAGTAAAGACACTTTTGCTAGAGTAATACTGCCCTGTTCCCCAAAGGGAACAGTGTGTACCAGCAATATTTTGCCAGGGCAGTTACATTTACAGGAGATTTTGAGAATTCTATCCAGGAAACCTGTGCCAGCCACGCTTTAAAGTGCAGTCCAAGCCTGAGGGCACCTTGTGTGCCCAACAATCTTCGCTCTCCCTCATCACACACTTTGCCTTGGAGGCAGCCCAGGCAAGCACTGTCCAGATTATACTGCAACAATCCCTGCTCAAAAGCAGCTGTTTCCTCCTCCTGCTCCTCCATTTCCTCCCTTTTCCTGTACCCACCACAACACTGGCAAAGTAGGGGGACAAAGACTGTCTCTACCTCAGTGGCTGCATCCATCCTATTACCCCACTCTACCACAGGTATGGAGAAGGAAATTGATGCTTTCTCTCCTCTCTAGCCCCTGTGTACAGCTCAGCTCCCCTGTGGCACGTGTGGACCATCTGCCCTGTTGCACACACACACACATCCACGCACAGACACTTGCCCTTCGCAGCTCCTCCCTCACCAAACCTCCAGGGTGAAGGGGAATCATTTGCACCAAGAGCCAGAGGAAGGGTCGCTTCTCTTCCCCTTCCTGACTGCTTCTCCTCCACCACAGCTGCCTTTCCTTCCCCATGCTCCCCACTCGTCTGCCCCTGATGTTCAAGAGCGCCAGAAGCCGGGAGGGGCAGCGGAGCAGCCCTTACCTCCGCTCCCCTGGGCAGGGTCCCGCGCTGGGTTATCGGTATCCCGGACCCCGTACCCGTATCCTCAGCTGCTCCTGCTTAGCAGCGCGGGAGGGAGGGAGGGAGGGAGGGCCACCGGGGCCCAGCTGACTCCAGCCAGATGTTCGCCAAGTGCTCTTATGTAATTACTGTCTTTTCCATCCTGCCTCCAAGGCCTTTGTGAGTGCCTCCCCTCCCGCTCTGGCCCGTGTTAGGCTTGGCTCTCCCTCCCTCTCTCCCTTCTTCCCTCCCTTCCTCCCTCCCTTCTTCCACCCACCCTGCACAGCATCACAATTTGCTCAGCTCAACAGCTGATTCCTTCTGGAAGCAAAGTTCAGGCTTTTGGCTACTGCTGTTACTACCCTTGGAGAGAGAGCTCACATGTGTTTTAAGAGCTGGGAAGGGATCAGCAGCACTGCTCTGCACTTGCCTCCTCTCTATCCCAGCCTGGCTGCTCCTGGGTGCCTTTGCCTTGCCCTTCCATAGTGCCTGTAATTGGGGAGGGGTGCACTTAAGACATTAAAAGGTGGCAGTGTGGTTTTTTGCTTCAGTAATTTGTGCCCTCGGGTTATCCTGTAACAGCAGCTGTCACTCTGCTGTACCAGGATCGCTGATCATCTCTGACCAGGCAGCAGAAGAGGCTGGGAAGAATAGATGACCTTTAAAGGTCCTTTCAAGCCCAAACTATTCTGTGATTCTATGATTAGATGAATCTTTTCCAGCCTGGGGACTCCATGTCTGTGCACAGGGCTTGTGCAACAGCCAGCCTGTGTTACTCAAGAGCACCAGCATGGTTCAAAATCACTGGCTTAGAACACTTTCTATGTCTCTAAGGATGGGCAGACCTATTAGATGTCTGATGCATGGCTACATTTCTCTTCAGACTTCTGCCCATGTGGGGCCTGGACCAAGCAGAAATGACACATTCCCTGGCTGTATGCAAGCTGCTGCTGAGTTTGAAGGCACTTCTGCCAGCAGGGATTTCTGCTGTGTGCTGCTTGGCGGCCTGGCCTGTCTCACACAGAGATCAAGGCCTTGGAAAGACGCTGTTGTTTTTTTTTTTTCTTTTCCCTGTGCATTGCTGAAATGCCACGTGGCTGAGGAGCAGCTGGAAGAGCCGTTCACCTGCACTCATTGCTAGACCTGGCAGTCTCCAATACTGAGCATGAAAGTGTGAGCTTGTCTTCTACTTCCCAGTGCCCCCACAGCCAGTCCTTGTGTGACACAGCTGAGCAGGGAGGGAGTCAGACACTGGCTCACAAGCTGCATCAGCTGGAGATGCCTCCCATCATCACCCAGGCTGCCTCTCTCCCCATCAGCAGCTTTTCCAACTTGAGTGTCCCATCTCTTACCCTGGCCTTGTGACCCTGCCTGTGAGACCAAGGAACTGTGCTGGTATCCACCCCAAGCTCCGGCATATGACTACAAGGACCATCCCTACTGCAACCAGGAAGAGTTTGCTGCTTTGTGAACATGTAGATCCAACAGCTTGGCTGGGTGGGAGATACCAGGTGACATTGTAGCCTGTTTGAACCAGTTCTTAAAAATAACCTTCAGGCAAGCCTGATGCCTTCTGCTTCTCAGAATCTACATGCACCTGAAGGCCCCTTCCTCCCATCCACTGCTGTGTAGACCAAGAAAATTTTACTCTTTTGCCACCCTCTCCTATGCAACCCCCTCCTCGACCTGCCCGTATCACTTATCAACAGTAGATCACTGCTCAGGGCCTATCAGCTCTCACAGGGAGTGCTGAGAAAGTTGCACAGCGGTTTGGGTGAGAAAACTTTCTTCAGAGATAGCCATGAGCTTTCTCACCAAAGAAACAAAAACTTTGTTTCTTTGCAGGGAGGAGGGGGTGGTGGGGCATGAGAGGACAGGTTGATGGACAAGGAAGCTGGTGTTTAAGAGCTCACAAACTCTTGGATCTGTGAGGGATGCTTTCTGCTAAGGGAACCATACTGACATGACAGAATTATAGAATCATAGGGTGGTTTGGGTTAGAAAAGACCTTCAAGATCATCTAATTCCAAGCTCCCTGCCATGGGCAGGGACACGTTCCAGTAGATTAGGTTGCTCAAAGCCTGGCCTTGAATGCTGCCATGGATGGGGCAGCCACAGTGTCTTTGGGCAACCTGTGCCAGTGCCTCACCACCCTCACAGTGAACAATTTCTTCCTCATATCTAATCTAACCCTGAGCTCCTTCATTTTAAAGCCATTCCCCTTTGTCCTATCAC